TGCAGCACTGCAGGCTACTTCAGCTGACTGTAGTTCTGCAGTTCGGCTGTTCAAATCGCACCAGCTCAGGGTTGACTCAGCCTTCCATCCTTCCGAGGTGGGTAAAATGAGGACCCGGATTGTGGGGGCAATGCTGACTCTCTGTAAACCGCTTAGAGAGGGCTGAAAGCCCTATGAAGCGGTATATAAGTCTACTGCTATTGCTATTGCTAAATGTGGAGGACTTTAAGACCCCTCTTGCAGAATCTGCTCATTTGGTAACATTCAAGTATTGCAAGACCAAAGCGTTTGCTTTCCAGGCCTTCTGTAGGCAGACACACACACACACATACACACCACAGTTGATGACTCCTGCTTGCACCCTCCCAGAGACTGAGTGGCGGAGGCAAAAGGCGTCCAAGAGAGGGGAGGAGGTGGATGAGGACACAGAAGAAATGCAAAATCTCCGGGAGCTGCAGGAACAAGAGCTGAGCAAGGTAGTGGGAAGCACCATGGAGGGGGGTGAGTGGAGGGGGCGAGAGGGGGCAGTCGGGGGCTCCCTCCAGCCCTCTTCCTTCTCATCACTGTAGGTGGCCTCCAATCTGGGCAGACTCATCCTGAAGGAGGAGATGGAGAAATCTCTGCCAATCCGCAGGAAGACCCGCTCTCTTCCAGACCGAACTCCCTTCCACGCCTGTGAGTGATGCCCTCCCCCCTTGCTGCTGAGAAGCGTGGGGAGGGGGCACTGTGTGCATAGAACCCGGGCATGCAATGTAAGGGACTTTGGAGGGATCTGATCCACCCCGAGAGAGCAGGAATCTGCACCAACAGATGAGACGCCTCTCCAAGATCTGTTTAAAGAAGGATTGCCCTGGGCTCCCTCAATGGGGACATTCATCCTGATGGCCAGGCCAATTGGCTTCCTGGCCATTAAAGGCCAGTCTTTCTGGCCCTGCCTTGGAGTCCCTACAGAACAATCCCATCCCAGCATAAGGTGGCCTGGAGGTACTAGGTGGCCCTTGGTCTGGCTGCTCTCTTCAGGAAATGCTCATCCTCCTCAACTGCAGGGTGACCAGTGCAGCACAAGGGCTTCTGATCGCGGAGTGCTCCTTCCATTAGGATGGTCTCGGCTGGCTTTTCCTTTTCCTGCAGCTGCAGGACACGGCCTTGCAATGACCCCCTGAGCGCAAAGGTGGTCTTTTCCTTGGACCAGAGATGGCCAGGGGGCAGCTGTTCCAGAGGGAGAGGCTGCCTTTGGCATTAACGTTGGCAGATCCCCATTAAGGGCACCCCAGGTTTTAGAGGGCAGTGGCTGCCACTGCCCAGACCACCTGTGGGCATCCCTCGTTCTTCGCCCTGAGAGAAGGAACTGGCCTTCAGGGCCGGACAATGGAAAAATGGCTAGAACTGCGATTCCTTCCATTCCCAAAAGAGGCTGGGAATGCTGGGCAATTTGGGCTTCTCAGAACCTTTCATCCCAATCCAGGCCTTCCTTCCGCGGTTGAGAAATGAGCCCCAGAAGCCTTTGGGCCTTTCCTTTTCCTTCAGTAAACCAAGCAGCGGCTTGTGAGGCTTGGAAGCCTCCATGGCCCCAGCTAGTGGATGGGGGGCAGGGTCCATCGGCTGCTTGTCTCCCCCCTATTGGCTGGATCTCCTCGGCTGCTCCTGCTCCACCCACTGAGCAGTCCGTCCTCCGGAGTATGGACCAATCCTGACTGCTGCTTCTCTTCCAGCTTCGCACGGAGGAAGCTCAAAATCAGCAGCCCCTCATGCCTCTGGGAGACACACGCTTGCCAGGGTAAGGGGAGACCGCTGGGCACTTGGAAGGCAAGCCAGCAAGGAAGAAGGGCAGGAAGTGAAATGGGGAGGCAAGGGGTAGGTGGGTAAGGAATCCAGAAGAGAAGAAGAGGATGTGTTCTGGGCAGGGGCTCCCACCCCTTTCCCACTTCCCTGCCCCACCTCTCTTCAGCCCTCCATCCGGCCCCAATTCCTTCAGCCAACTTTGCGCTGAGTGTGCCCATGGGGTGCCCGTCCTGCCATGTCTGCCCTGGGTGGTGGGCTCCAGCTCTGCATGGAGAGCAGCGTGCTCCTGCCTGGCCTTGTCCATAGTCAGTCTGGCAGGAGGGGAGAGAAGCCTCCTTGACCGGTGGATGATGTGCTCCACTCCTCTCTTTCCCCAGTTGCAGTCAACCGAGTTTGGAACCGGCAGCAGTGAAAAAGTTGGTCCAGGTAAGAGAAGCTCCTGCCCCTTGCAGACACCCCTCCCCCCCCGAGCCTTTCTGCCTCCGTCCCGTCCCTGGCCATGCTCATTCTCCCTTCTCTCTTGCAGGTCTGCAGGTGAGCAGCGCAGAGGCAGGCCGCACGGATGCCTGTCCCCACCCCAGCAGCCCCAGACCTGGGAGGGGCAGGCCTGAAGAAGAGGCAGGGGCCGCAGCCTTCGATCCCGTGGGAGGGATGGGAAGCCCTGCCTTCAGCTCTGTGCCTCCTCTTCCCCTGCAGAATGGCCAGAAAAGCCGCATGGACAGAGGCAGCTCCCTCCCCAGCATGCTGGAGCAAAAGGTGAGAGAGAGGGGGGCCCCCTGGGGAGGGGGCTGCAGGGAGGCCGCAAAGCCAGGCCTTCCTTCCTCCACAGGCCTGATGACCGGCTGGCCGTTTGCTTCTCCCTCGCCAAAGATTTATCCGTATGAGATGCTGCTGGTGACCAACCGAGGGCGAGTCAAACTGCCCCCAGGAGTGGACCGGACGCGGCTTGAGGTATGGTGCCCTCTCCCTCCTGCGACTCTGGCCCAGGCGGGCAGAGCTGGCTTAACCATGGGCTGGGCGCAGCAGAGTCCCTCAAAGCAGCCTCCTCCTTCCCCCCCTCCCCAGCGGCACCTGTCGCCCGAGGACTTCCAAAGGGTCTTTGAAATGCCCCCGGAGGAGTTCTCCCGCCTGGCCCTGTGGAAGCGGAACGAGCTGAAGAGGAAGGCCTGTCTCTTCTGAGCCCCTCGCAGCCGCCTGCCCAACGTGAGCAAGTGCCGCGTGTGTCCTGCATCACAGAGGCTTTAGGGCGCCTCTTCAGCAGGTGCCAAGGAACACTCCTCCCCCCATCCCAGCTATGAGGAAGCCGGTCAGCCCCAGGCGGGCAGGGGAGGAGCTGCCCGGGAGTGTGGAGCCGCCCCCCCTCTCTGAGCATGAGCCAGAACTGGAGCAGTTGGGTGGGGAAGGGGGGGATGCTCCTTTGCTTCCCTGGCACCCGAGAGGCCCCTCCTCAGCCGCCATCCAGCAGGAGTGATGGCGTTGGGGCCTTGGTTGTCCCCATGGCCAAATGGCCTTGCCGCCTCTTCAGCAAGCTTTGTGGAGCAGGCACCTCAAAACAGAGGCACCTCGAAAGGGCCAGTCCCTCCCCCCAGCTGCCTTCGTTCTCCCCCCTGGCAGTTGGGACCTTTGATTGCCCAGACTTGCCCCCCTGGACCGTTAGGCCTTCTTTGTGCACGTTTAGTCATTCCAGAGCGACTGGTCTGCGGCTGAACCTTCCCTCACAGCTGAGCCGAGAGTGTGCAGAGACCCCGTTGCCTCCATCGCCCGCAAGCAGGCATTCAGTTGAGTAGAGATGGACACGGACGGAACGGCTGCTCTGAGCAGCAAGAGCCTGGCGGCAGGGGCACCTGGAGGAGAACTGCCCCGATTGCTGCTGGCTGCAGGGAGAGCAGTGATGGGGGATCAGGAGGCGCCTCTTTGTTCCAATTATGCTGACAGACACAAGGCCGAAGTCGTCCTCCCCACTGCAGGCCTTGGGGTGGGTGTGGAATCTCCAGCTCACCCGTGAAAAGGAAAACCCCATAGAAAAATCAGGCAAGAGAAGCGACCTGCCCAAAGTTCACTTGCAAATAGGAGTTCTGAGGGACTGAGACTGGTGGGGGCATCTCCACCCATCCTGGCAAGCGCCCTCCACAGGATGCCATGCTCAGCAGAAGGGAGGCTGCCGCCTGGTGGGCTCTTGAGGGACCTGGCACTTTAGGACGGGCGTGAAGGAAGCGGCAGCGTCTCTCGCATCTCAACTCCCCCGAAATGGTGAATCCCAAGGGTCCCATCTGAAATCTGGCTGCCTGGGAACAAAGCAGCTGTGCCACGGGTTGCTGGGAACTGCCTGCAGAGACTGGAACTCAGCTCACCCACTCCCCCCCCCCCGGCCCGTCACTCCACTCCGTGCAAATGTAGAGCGCTACTGATGTGAATGTTCTTCAATATGGGCCTCTGACTGTAGTTCAGTCCCACCCACCTACTTTTGCTGATGTTAAACTCTGTGACCGTTTCCCTCTTTTTAATTAAACGTGAAGCAGCTTCATTCAAAAAGCTTTGTTTCGGGCTGGTGTTTCCTTGGAAGCCAGGTTGGTAGTGGCTCCATTCACTTGGGGGATAGGATTCTAAAAGAGGGGTCCCCAATCCCTGGCCCACCTCTGGGCCTCGGGCTGTTCAGAAGCAGGTTTTGGAAGTGGTGGCCAAGGCTGCGCCCCTCCACCGGTCGCAAAGCCGAAACAGTTGGAGAACTCTCTTCTCATGCCTTCCAGCTAATTGGGCTGTTTCTGAGATTGCATTTCCCGCAAGTCAATGCAGGAGCCCTTCCCACCGTCAGCAGCTCTGCTCTGGCGCTCCCTCTTGAGCCGACCTGGCAGAGCGGAGACTCCTGTCTGCCAGAGAGGAAGGCCTTGTGTCCTGGACAAGCAGGCAGGTGACCCTGGGAAAGGGAATCTGGGTCTGCAGGGCCTTCTGAGAGAAATGAACCCCCCCCCCCGAGGGGGAGCGGGGGGGGGGGGGGCTAAGAACAAAAGACACGGACAAAAGCTATATTGGGGAACTTCATGTTTTCAGCTATAGGAAGCTCCAGATGCTATTTTATTCACTGTGCTATTTTGCCACAGTTTCCTTCTTTGCCTTAGTGCAGGGATGTTCAAACTTGGGAACTTGAAGACTTGTGGAATCCACAAGTCTTCAAGTTTCCAAGTTTGGACATTGCTGCCTTAGTGGGATTCTGCTCAGAAGAATCTTGATTGAACGTTTTCCTTTTTGTTGGCTCCTTCTCCCACCTGAAGACCTGCCACCTTTGGTAAAGACGTCACCTATTTACAGCTGGCGGCTTAACATCGTCCTTCTGTGGCCAACTTCGTTCTTCCAGAGAAATGGGCTATTTGAGCCAGATCCACTTGTCTCCCACATCCGCATTGTAACCAGAGGCAAACATGCGTCCGGGAAGCTACAACAAAAGGGAAGCAGGGAAGATGCATCAGCATGAAGGAAACATTCCCGTCTTCTTGATTGGATGAACTTTCTCCTCAGGAAGTCCTGGGAACTGGCCCTTGGCGGGAATTCTCTGCTTTCTCCCAAGTGGCTGTTTCCAGGGCTTTGTGAGAAGAACAACTGGTCCAGCATCAGTTGTTTTGAAATTTAAAATAACAATAACAATAACAATAATAATAATAATAATAATAATAATAATAATAATAATAATAATAATAATAATAATAATAATGGGGCCCGACTAGTAACCAATGCCA